TTTCTTTTTAATTAAATTTTCCTTCCATATAAAATTTCTACTTTATCATATTTTTAACACAATTTCTACTTTTTTAAATATCTACAATGAAAAAAAAAATTTTTATTTGATTCAAATAATCGGTTGACTAATTATCAAAGAAATACTTCATTGTATTAAATAAATAAATTAATAATTATTAATTATTTAATAAATATAAATTAAATAGTATATTTGTTTCAAATACAGAAATTATTGATTCAAATACAATTTATTTAATTCAAATAAAAATTATATGGTTCACGTAAATATTTATATAGTCAAGTATAAGCGATTATACTTGAATCAAATAAATTTTTTTTCAGTGTATTCTGCTTAATGTAAATTTAGTTACATAAAAATTCTATATTAACTGAAAATTTAGTGCAATGAAATTTGTACCTTTTAAAATTAAGCTATACACCAAGAGAAATGTTTTATTTGAACCAAATAAATATTTATTAAGCTGTGTGACAAATATACCATTTTTCTGGATGTAGAACTTTGATATAAAATTAAAAAATTTTAATATCAGCAACCTTTTGCAAAAAGAGTCTAATATTTAAAGCGAGTACTTTTAATTAGTTTTCATTTTCAAACAATTTAAAATAACGTTTGTTTTTGCAAATTTTAAACTTTTTAAAAATATGCGAGCATTTAAAAAAAAAAATTTTGAAACAAAAATTCCGAATTGAAATTTTATATTTTCTATATATATATACAATATGTTTATACTGAGAGTCAAGCATGCGTGATGAGATCCACTTTTCTCGCTCTGATGACGTCAAAACATACATATACGCTGTTTAATGAGTTTAGATTGTGTTCACGAAGCTTTTATGCCAATATTTAAACTTTCTTCTATAAATATAAATGCGCGTTGTTCTACATATTTAACGCGTTTACTTCCATATTAATCGCTAACGGAAATATTACGATTCATTTTTTTTTTTTTTTGTATAATACACTACTTCATGTGTAAGCATGAGATGAATAACGATTTGACCTTAGTTTCAGAATTTTTGCAATCCATGCATCATTATTCTTTTATCTCGCGTTTTAATAAGCAAAAAAACGTGTTTTTTCAAATTTCATGAATTTTCCATTTATTTACATTTATTACAAATATTCCGGTAAAACGCTCCATTTATATATTTTCAATACATATATATATATATATATATATATATATATATAAATATTTAAAATAGAAAAGATTTTTGAAAATAAAATATTTTTGTAAAATTTACAAAAATATTTTATTTTTAAATAATTTTTTTTATATTTTTTTAAAAAAGGTTGCAAATAAATGTAGTTAAAAAAATTTACATCTCTTTTTTTTAATGAAAATTTTTGTTTAGACATAAAGAAAGTTTAGAAGATGATGGAAAAACATTAAAAAAAAAAAAAAAAAAACCTCAATTGAATAGTCATTATTAAGCAAAAAATTGTGAGTCTATCGTTGTTGGCAATATTTCAAAAGTACTCTGTTAGTAAAATGTAACAAGTATGCCGAGAGGGATTCGTTCAAGTCTCTTTTCCTCACATCCGAACAATGGACCAGTTATACTCGATTCTCGGTGACATCTTTTGCGCCAGGTTGCCGAATCAAGGCCACCTTAAGGATGGCCTTGCTCTCTATTTTATTCAACTTTTTTAAAACTCATCGCGCAAGAAAAAAACGTCGATTCCGCAAATTCTCGTTGAATTTTCTTTTCTTTCTTTCTTTTTTTTTTTTTTTCTTTTTTTTGCTGAACTCGCAATTTTATGGCAAAAACCAACTTTCCAATATACTGATTTGTCACTACTATAAAGGGAAAATAAATGTAATTTATGTGTTTTCTCTTCAGCTTATCAAATATGACAAATCTTTATATTATATAAATAATTAAATAATTTAAATTTAATTATAAAATTATAATTCATAAAATATAAATATATTGTAGTTTTTTGTAAAAAATATTTTTTTCAAATAGTGTGATAATAATTAAAATTTTGTCTAAAAGTTAAATGTATTTTACTGTTTATAATAAATATAATCATTTAAGTTAATTTTATCCGTCAACACTTTTTTTTATTGCAAAAGCAAAGCAATGACGCCTCTGTTCTTTATGTTCAAACACTTGCGAACAGTGTTAACCAAGCTGTGTTGGACAAAAACGTTTGAGTATCTTTCCGCCTACTCTTTCGAGAGCGCTTCCGTCTACAGAACGACAAAAAAAAAAAAAAAAAAAAAAAAAAAAGAAGAGAATATCCTATCTCAATTACAAACGGAAGCTTCCCACTGAACCAGTTTTATTTCATCTCTAAAAATATCGAATCTACTCGAATTCAATATTATTTCACAAAATCCATTAAATATTCAGAATTATTATCAATATATATAATATATAAAGCTATAGATCCAATTAAAATATACAATTAAATTATTTTTTACTATAATAAGCAATTAAAAAATAATTAGAAAAATGAATATTTTTTAATAATAATTAATTTAATAAAAATTTGTAAAATAGTTTTTCTTTTTTATCATTATTATTTTTTAATACAAAATCTTTTTTTTTTAAAACAGTTTTTCATCAGTTTTGATTTTTAAATTTCTATAAAAAAAACTCTATTATAAAGACTATTAAAATTCTAAACATATTGTGAGTCAGGAAATTGAATAACAAGAAAAGTCGTGGATTACGAATATTTTCCTTGCTACATCTGCTACTTTTCTGACTGTATAAAATAATGTATTTGTGAAAATGTCTATATCCTCTATATATATATACACGTTAAAACATCTGTTTTTCAAATGTCGAATGGAATTTATATTTGACAGAAAATCTTTACAATACTCCATTTATCTGATTATTATTAATATCATAAAATAATTATTTTTTTCAAATTATTTTTTATATTCTAATATAAATAACCTCTTTTTTATATACATATCCAATATTCCAAGTCAAACAAATAAAAGGGTTACCCATCTAAATTCCCAACGCCTCTAAAGTTGCTTAACCCCGACGATTATACATAATCAATTACGACTTAAATAATTAAATTTTTTCATAATTACAACTATATAATCACTATGATAAAAACAAAAAATAGTTACAAAAAATATTTTTTGTCATAAAATTAAAAAAAATAGAATTTTATTATCAAATTCAAAAAAGTATTCTCTCTAAATCTGAATTAGTAAAAATGTTTACTAATTTGAATTAGTGACTCACTTTTTGCTTTATAATTAGTTAAATTTTACTAATTGTCAGTAACTTTTACTAACAATTAGTAAAATTTAACTAATTCAGAAGCAAAAAGTAAGTCACTAATTCAAATTAGTTAAATATTTTTACTAATTCAGATTTAGAGAGTTGATTATTCTAATATTTATCATAAAAAAAAATCTGATTATACTTGATAAATTCGTGCAACATTCAGACAATAAAATCCTATTTATGTAATTAATTATAGCTATTATTAGTAGAATGAAACATACACAGGAATTTTTCTGATAAATTACACATCGATAATAATCGAAATATTGAATGGGAAATGCGAAAAGCGTATGAAGAATAATAAACTAATATATATATAAATGCGAGCAAAATAATGCAATGATAAGTACAAATTGTCCATTTTTAAATTATTGTTCATTAACAAAATTAGTTTTGTGTTAATTGTGATCGTGTAATATAATTACATATATAGTTACATTGTTTAATGTTTTAAATATATAAATGCCATTATTATCATTAATTGAATGTGTAATTACTTTATTTTTAATTTATAATTAAAATTTAATTCAATTATTTTCAATAGTTTTAAATAAAAATTTATTTGATTTAAAAGAATATTTTGATTTATTTGAATAAATTTTTTCTTTTAATCTGAAGAAAAAATTTGTTTGAATTACAATAAAAAATTGTTGCAATAAACCAAATGTTTAGTTTAGTCAATAAGAATTCAAGAAAGACGTGTCTGACTAAAACAGACTTTTACTACTGAGGTTAAAAAAAAATGACTGAATTTGGATAGTCTGACTGAAATTTACTTTCACTACCTACTGATGTTCAAGTTAGAAAAATTACTTAAAACTACTGTTTTTTACTACTGCGATAAAAAATTAACTATAATAACGTACAGTACTTTCTGACTTGAACTGTTTTTTTTCATACTACTTAAAATAAAATTTACGAGAGTTAGAGAAACTTTTGTCTGACTGCAACAGACTTTTACTACTTGCACTAAATTTTAACCAGAGAAGAAGCCATAGAAATTTTTTATTCGAACCAAATATTTGAATTAAAATAAAAATATATTTGCTAGTCTTAGAACTAAATAACTATTTGTTTTAAATTAAATTTTGTTTAGTATCAAATAAAAATTTAATTTGGCACAAGTGAAATTTATTTGAAACAAATAAAATATTTAATTCTCATAGAAATATTTTTTAATTTTTGTAAAATTTGTCTGACTGCAACCTACTTTTACTACTGAAATTAAAATTTCATACGGCTGATCAAACTCTAATGTCTAAACATTTGGCTTATTCAGTCAACTATTTCATTGAAGAATTTTTTTTAATTTATAAAATTTGGAAAATAAAAACAAATTTTATTTAAATCATCTATGTAAAAAAATTGTATACGAAATAAAACTTTTTTCAATGAGTATTTATGCAAAAGATATTGATTTTTGCATATATTTTTTGTTCTGTCTGTAAATGCGATAGAATTTTTTTTTAATTACTAATATTAGTAGCAGGAATGTAATTAGAGAGTATTGTAATAAATATGTGTATATATATATATATATATATATATATATATATATATATATATATATATATATATATATATATATATATATATATATATATATATATATATATATATTAAGGGATATGGGGCGCACATTGCAAAAGCACAAAGAAAATAAAGCTGTCGACGAAGCAGAAAAGTGGGGAACCAGAGGGACATGCTACTCACCAATGCCTGGGCGGCGCCCTGGTGCTGCAAGCAAGAAACACCCAGTTACTATCACATAGGACATTTAATTCACAGCTTGTGAAAAAAAAACAATGACAACGCGAAAAAATGCAGTGCGAGTATGAAAGCTTTTTTTTTTACATGTCAACGAAATAGACAAATACAAAATTTATTGTATTCATTTATTCGTCATCTTTATAATCTTTTATACGTGCAAAAGTGTCATTTTTTTTTAAAATAGTATTTGACAAATATATATCTTTCTCTTTTATTATATAACTTATTATAATTCACTCAATATATTGATATATAATTTTTATATTTCCCTCATTTCATTCACAAGTGCGTAAATAAAAAACATAAATGTTCTTCAGAAAATTAAATCTGTTAATTTAATTGATTAATAAAAAAAAATATCTAGCATATTTCAATTAGAAAAACAAAATATTTTATATTTTAGTTTAGACAACAAAACTTTGACTAAATGAAACAAAATTGAGATAAACAAAAATTTAGTAGATATATACAAACAAAAAAAGTTTATTGCTGAAATATCTACCAAATGTTTTGTTAAAATAGAATATTTATAATATAAAGATGATTGTAAATTACATTATACATTTTGGAGACAAAAGGGGGGATGGGGTAGTTTATGACATCTTCCTACATTTTTTTATGAGATATAAAAAGAGAGGGGGGGAAACGTTCAGGAAAAGTTGTACTTATTGTTTCAAGGTGATATATAATATTATTATAATATTATATTATATAATATAATTGTACTATTATTATTATTATATATATATATATATATATATATATATATATATATATATATATATATATATATATATATATATATATATATATATATTATAATAAGGTTATATAATAAAATTATAATATAGTATCTCAAATATAATAAAATTTCTTAGGTTTTTCTCTAACTTGGTTAAGACAAATTTCCACAAGTGAATGTCTGACTAAAATCGGCTCACACCACTAGAATTAAAGAGATAACTAACGATTCATTTCAAAATTAGTTTGATTTAATCTCATTTGTACTACTGAATTCTGAATGTGACTTTTCAAAGTTATTTTTTCATTAATCTACTGTTTTAAAACTGATTTTAATTTTTAAACGCGAAAGCTCTTTTCATTTAGCTTCATTTAAGTTGACTTTGTATTTCTCACTCATATACTAAATTAAAAAAATATAACAAAATTTTTAAATTTCAAAAAAAATTACAATTTAACGAAATTTATTAATTAATTCCCTTTAGTGTTATAATAATAATAATAAAAAATAAATAATACTACAAGAAAAAAATGATTTACCTGGAACAGCGAAAGCTTTTACTAGAATAGAAAAAGTTTTAATTGTTTCAATTAAATCTTTCACTATATTTAAGTGAAACCTTTCGCTGTTTCAGATAAAAAAAAATTTTTTTTCCGTGTATAATAAGAAAATTCCTCCGTTATCAAATGAAATAAATCAAAAAAATATAAATAAAATATTTTATATAATATATTTTAAATTTCTTCTCAATAACAGAAATTAATTGTAATTATAATAAATTCAACATAAAGTAAGATTAACAAAAAAATATGTCAAAAATATATGTTTGAATAAGATTTTAGAAACGATATTTCAAGAACAATGTTCCATAAATTGTAATTTAGGGTAAGATAGATATCCACTTGGAAAAATATATCTTTCCCATATATATATATATATATATATATATCAACCTATTCATTAATCTCCTACGCATCTTAGATTCTGTCTCAAAAATATAGGGTAAAAGTCTTTAGGAAAAACGTCTATTTATCATTTAACCTATATAGTATTAAATTATAATTTAAATCAGTTTATCAGAAATAGGAATATGTAGAAAATTTTCTTTTTATTTTCTATTTTTAGTTACTCGTGGACACTCCACGTGTATCCATTGTTAAAGCGCAGGCGTTGTCGCCTTAAAAATTCATGACGTAATTGTTTTTTAACTATATATTGCACGTACATATTAAATGAAAAGTTGTCATTTCTTTAATGGATATTCTTTAGCATTCATACTTCTTTTTCCTTCGATTTATACGATATATATATATATATGATGTATTCCACGCCAAAGTGAAAGCCCATCTGCAATTGCCTCTCCGATTTTTTAAAAAATTTTTTTTTTCTTTTAGTACTAATTCAGACTCAAATTTTTTTAGCAAGCCGTTTTCTAGTTATATATATTCCGACACATAAATGTTGAATTTGAATAAAAAAAATTCTCTTTTTACAGAAAAACGTTTTACTGATCGATATTGCTGAAAGAATGACGTGCTCAATAACTTATTAATGATACTGACAGATTTAAAAAAAAAAAAAGAAAGAAAAAAATTTTCAACCAATTTAAATCCCTTGTTGCGTTCAAAGCTGCTTCACTCGTTCTAAAATAATTAACGTCTTTCTTAACTCGTCAAAAATCGACAGGACTCAAAGTATTAGTTTGAAACTTTATATATACATATACTAAAACTCAGCAAGTCTACGAAATAAGCTCCTGATAAAATCATATGATTAATAAAGTTTTAAAATATATGAATAATTTAAATTGCAATGAAAAACAATTCATCAATTGAATTTAATACCACAAATATTAATATAAAAGCATTTAAAATAAAATTAATTTTAATTTAAAAATTTTAAACTCAAATTGAAAATTAATTTTCACAGAAAAAAGCATTAAAATAAGCTGCAACACTTATTATTTTAATCCAATTTTGCTTATTTTAATCCATTTTGATATTAAAATAACCAAAATTGGATTAAAATAATAAGCGTTGCAGCTTATTTTAATGCCTTTTAATTTTCTGTGTTGTTAAACAAAATCCGTAAATTATAAATGAATTTATCAATTGTAATATTTAATTGAATTTACAAATTGAATAAAATCAATTAATTTTTTTTTAAATCTACAACTATTCGAAAATTAAATGCATTTGTTAATTAAAAATAAATTCGGTAAATGAAATGAATCACAGAAAATTAAAAGGCATTAAAATAAGCTGCAACGCTTATTATTTTAATCTAATTTTGCTTATTTTAATACCAAAATCGATTAAAATAAGCAAAATTAGATTAAAATAATAAGCGTTGCAGCTTATTTTAATGCCTTTTAATTTTCTGTGATGTCAATTAAATTTGCCAAAAAAAAAATTAATTTGTTGATTAAATTAATTTTTTTGTTAAATAATTTGTATTATTATTATTATTGTTTTTCGATGGATTTAGAGGAATATTAAGAAACCAAATATAAGTTTTGAAAGTCCATATATACTTATATACAGTGCAAGTGACACTTACTCGATATAATTTTCTAGAGAGGTATTCCATGGACATTCCAATAATGTCGGTGAATGTACTTTCAATTCGAATGATTGAATTGTCAGCAATGAAAGAAGCGGGAAGTACAATAAAGTTAAAAGGTGTGTGCTTTGGTTTTGTATATATATATATATATATTTTACAAAATAATACATATATGAAAATATGAAGAAAAAAAACAAACACCAAATCCGGAAGAACGGGGAAAGCATACAAAAAAAACAACATGAATGTAATTCATCAATTGATGATTTAGTAACCATTTTGTTATTGATTTTCAGTCAATAATAACTAATTTCTCTTCTGGGTTTATTACCAAATAATACCGCAGAAAATAGATTCTGTATAGATGAATATGTAATTAAGAATTATTAATAGCCGCTCAGTTAATCATTTCTAATAATTTATTTATTTATTGTTTCAACTGAAATTAATTGTTTTAAAAATAAGGATAAACATTCAATTAATTGTAAGTGAAATTCTAATTTTTAAAAAATTGTTTTAAATAATAAAAATTTTATGGAAAAAATATGGAAATTTGGTTTAATATCAATGATAAAATTTCGTTAAATAGTATATAATTCAAATATAAAAATATGATTTATATATAGTCAATTTTAGAAAAAGTATAAGTCAATTTAATAACTTTTTTCCGCTGTCAAATTTAGCAGTGGGTTGCGACTCTTATTGTACAAAGAAAACTAGAACGACCAGCGTGACCTGCTTGGTGGTATCGCTTGAGGAGGTTAAAGCGTATAAGGGCCTCTGACGAATCGATTCGGCCATGGGCGGAGGGCTCTACTGCAGTGCCGCAAATACCAAAATTTCATCTCCCAATGTTTACTTATAAAACTCCCTTAAAAAATGATATTTCTGATGATTCTTAAAAATTTCCAACAATATTCTAAGGGATTCTTATAATAAAATTTTCAACACAAATTTATCGAGAAATTTTAACACTATAATTATATAATTTCCAAATCAATAATCTCTCTCTCTCTTTAAAATATAAATTAATTAATTATAATTAATTTCAAGTACTCACAAGTTTTTTGATTTTTTTCCCTAAATTTATAAAATATTAAATTTTTTTCAAAGATGATTGTAAAGTTTACTTATTATTCAAAAAAAATTCTAGAACCAGATCTTTTGTTAAGGCGGCTTTTAGCTTAATATAGGGAGCGTCACGCTATAACTCTTGATAATGAACGAATATAGAATAGCTCTAGTTTTGAATTTAATACGAGAATACTATTTTCATAAATTCAAAGTTGTTTTTTAAAATCACAATATAATTTAATTTTTATATAAATAATTGAAAAAAAAATTATAATTTTCAATGAGAAAATAAAAATATTTTACTAGTAAAATAAATATTCAACTATTTTCATTGAATAAAAAGTGGCAAACAAAAGAAGAATATAAGTATATTTCAAATAAGATTTCTATCGAATTTAAAAAAGTATAGAAAGTGACCTCAATGTATTTAGAGTCACGAAATCCAAGAGCTTTTTCAATTTGAAGAAAGAAATTCCTGTATCAATTTATAACTAAACCGTGCGCAGCTTTTAAATATTTTTTAAAATAAAAAATAAATATGCGCAAAGAAATCTAAAATCTATAAAAATTAACAAGGCCTAAAAAA